TATCCTATATATATTTCAATTCTAACATCAACTGCAATCCATTTGCAGTTATCATGCTTTTGCAATTATAGATCATAAATAATTGGGGACAAAACAAAATTATTAAAATATAGTTGCTGGAACAAACTGCTACTAAGCATTAGTCTCCGTTAGTTATATTTGTTATAATAACATGACAGATAATGTGGGAGTGTTTAAAGCTGAACACAATAACATAATTGACAACTCTAGAAACTACATGAGGTCAATTCACAGTGCTGCATCCACAACTACTATCTGAATTACCTGAACAGAATTTGAATGACGTGTTGCAGGGTCTAGACAATCAGTTATCTGTTTGTCAGCCAAATCTCTTGTGAGATAAAGCCTAGCATAATGCATCACCTCACTATGCGGCTGACTAACATGAATCACATTCTATTCAAAATAATATAACTTTGCCAACCCAAAAGAGGTTAAATTGGATGTAGTATTTATGTTGTACTCAATTCATTCTGTACATCTGCAAATGCTTGATCATATATGAAAGGTTCTAATGTGGACATTTTTGATTAGTTAATTTTGTTATTTTTCTTTAAGGTACACAGTCCAACCTTTCTATACATCATGCCATTATTATTATTATTTGCTTCAACTGCTCATTTATGTAAGTTTAGCTGCTCTCAAACAAAAAAAATGCCACTGCAAATCCAAATGAAGGTAATTGAGTTTGAAGTTTTCGAACAGAATGCGAATATACTGAAGTTGTTAAGCTTTCATAAAACACTTGTGGAGAAGAAAATGATTAATAAAAAAAACACTTTAGAATGTGATGGCATTGGTATTAAACCAAAATATTGAATTGTTCCTTTATAGTCCTTCAGAATTTTGAACTTGATCGAAATGGAAATGTTCTTAAGAATTCTTCTAAATATAATGGGAATTTGTTTTAGAAGTATTATCGCACATTTGGTTTTGAAAACTTTCTGCATGGTCATGTTGAACACCAATCTGCAAGGAGACAACTAACCACAACAAAACCACAATCTACTACATTTTGAAAAGTTAAAAGAAATCAGCATAGCTATTACTTCCATTTAAAGGGAGGAGTTTTAAAATGTACAGCTGTCTAGTAGGAGTCTCTCATATATAAATACCAGCATCTATCTTTTTGAAAGCACTACTACATCAGAACTTCCATGATTTCAAGGGGATAATCTATTGGGGATGTTAAACTGAAATACAGTTCAGGAGGCAAGATATGCAGGTATGTTGTACTTCAATTCTTAATCATGTTAACATGCAAAAGGATAAGGAGGCATGGTGCTAGATTAGAACTAGTTTTGGCTGCATTGGCTAATTAAGTTTGTATTATTCTCTTCATGTAGTTCTCTGTCTTGGTTTGTTTATGATGTTGGTCTGAAACATGGGCATTAAGAATGGGGCCTACTCAAGATTTGTCGGTTTCTCCCCCACAGTGTTCACTGCCAGACAGGTTGTTTGACAGAAGGAACCATTTTTAATGTTTCATGTGCAGTTTTGATAAGAAGGTCTGCATCATTCTTCCTGTTAAAGAATATAAACAAATATCTATTAAAATGATTATAGATTCTACCCACAAGCATGATTTCAGTGGAAATTGGTGCATTTCTGGTGTTCGTGTCTGTTTCTCTGGTGAACGGAATAGGATACGTGGGATACAACCAATCACCATATAATACAAAAAGTCAGGGTGAGTTTTCATCTCATTTGGAAACAATTATTTGAGATTGCTGTGCTTTGCGCTAATTACATGATGAACAAAGTTATACAATCGTGCTCTGCAGTAAAGTGAAGACTGAAGTTGCTGGTTTAATTTTAGTCTGAGTAATATTTATCTTATATCATTTATCTTATAGATATCCCAAATTAGTAACAATTAATTCTGTCCGTGCTCAAATAAACCAACCTTCAGGGTGTGCACAAGCGCTATGTTCATTCAGTCAACTTTTAAATTTCCAATTGTCACAAGAAACATAATAAAAACTGAAAGAACTGCAGATGCTGTAAATCAGGAGCAAAAGCAAAGTTGCTGGAAAAGTTCAGCAGGTCTGGCAGCATCTGTGAAGGAAAAAACAGAGTTAACGTTTC